GCTGAGTTGGTCCGAATAGAAGACCCACTCGACCACTTGGAGTCATGCCAAGTGGTGGCACCGCTTGAGGCTCAACCTCCTAGGTGGTCTGGATGGTGGTACCGCCCAGATTGAGCGGTGGTACTGTCGGTCATAAAGGTTGTCAGGTGGTGGTATCGCCAGACTAGGTGGTGGTACTGCCCAATGTCAGAAAGTACTAGCAGTAGTACCGCTGCTAGTCATAGGTGCCCTGCAAGCCAATCATGTGAGTGATGACACATGACACGTATTCTTTTTGCTTATTATATTTTAACATTTTATCACTTTATATTACTTGTTGTATATATATATATATATATATATATATATATATATATATTGTGATGTTCATGGATTTATGCAATGGGAATCGGATCGTGATGAGATCACAATAATGAGACAGATTCACCTTCAAACACAGACTCTAAATAATCCTAGGCATAGGTTACTCAAAAGAGATATCGAGATAACCAGATAGACTAGTGTGTTGTATACCCGTCCATATGATGGAGGCAACTGGTCTTATAGCTGCTCGTGTGGGGATACTAAGGATATAGTGCAGGTGCTAATTGTAGAATGAGTTTACTAATTGATCCGCTCACGAAATACTAGATGGTTGATGATGCCTTATTGTCAGACGGCGATTCCGTAGTCCCAATAGTATATTTGGTTCTTAGACTTAAGACACCAACGATGTCCTGTATGAGTACTCCACTCTTTGATACTGGACTTATAGGTTTAGAAGTTCCAAATCTAGTACAACCGGTTATTGGGAGTGGCAGCCAACTTTACGAGGGCTATTAAGTGTCGATAGAGGATCATCCGCTCTCGTTTTTATAAGAGAAATATCCTGTGTATTTTTTGTCAAACAAATCCTTGGTCAAGGTCATTGGGATTGATAGAGAAAGAGTTCTTAGGGAGAATCCGATTAGAGCGAGGCTCGAAAAGAAACCATATGGGCCTGATAGCACCATGCCCAATATATGGTCTCTGGGATATTAGATGGATGAGGGACTATAAGTACATGATAATTGAGGACAGATATGTCTAAAGGATTGGATTCCCCCATATCGTTTGGAGACTATGACGTAGTGGCCTAGTACGTTCGTAGTCAATGAGTCGAGTGAATTATTATGGAGATAATAATTCACTAAGCTAGAAAGAGTTCTGACAAGTATGACTCACAACCAACTCGATATTGGGCCTAGAGGGTCACACACATATGGTAAGTGTTGCGACGAGTAGAGGTTCGGATATGAGATATCCGTTGGAGCCCCTATCTTATTGGATATCCAATAAGCACATGAATTATTAGATCCTATAGATGAGATCCAATAAGAGCTAATAAAAGATTATTGGATAGAGACCTACTAATCTAAGAGGCTTGGGTAATTGGATGGAGATCCAGTATCCAATAGGGCAAGATTCATTAGGGTTAACTAGTGGCCTCTATAAATAGGAGGGAACTAAAAGCCCATAGACTGGGGCTTTTTAGTCACCACCTCTTATTCTCCTCTCCCCTTCTCCTCCTCAAATAGCAAGACCTCCTTCATCCACTCCTATAGATCTATAGGGATTCAAGGATATATGATCTCCCGAGGTAACATAACTATTCACGTGTGGTTTTCTGTGTCATGGGTTTTGCGTACCAATCTACGCACGATGATGAACACATATTGGGAAATTTGAGGTTTTTATTTTATATTCTTCTGTTGCGCATGTGTTGTCACTCCTAGATTTCCCAACAACCGTCAATACCTCGAAAACCGAGGATGAGACATTTTTGGCTCCAAGTTTGAATCTATTTGGAGCCTATAAATACCCCTCTCATTCCTGGTCAGAATACACAACAATTGAGAGGAAAAAGAAAGGAAAACACTATTGTAATATTGTGAGAACTCCTCTCAAACTCTAAGTGTTAGTGAAATTTAAGAGAGGAGGTAGTGGGGGTGTAAAGGTTCTATCCTAAGCTTGTCAAAAGGAGAATAGAGTTGTAAGAAGGTGGTCTTCACCTATTGAAGGAAGATCGTTAGTGGATGAAGGTAGCCTCAACGGAAGAGGAATCGGGAGTGGTTGTAGGTCATGACAACCGAACCACTATAAAACTCGGTTTGCATTTCTATTTATGCAATTTACCTTAACTGCAAACTGCTTTACTTTCTCATTACATTCTTACGAATGCTTTCAAGTTAAACACATTTCCGATATCGGTTTTCATCGAACGTAAGTTTTTCAAAACTGACGTGTTTATCATAAGCACTAATTCAAACCCCCCCCCCCCCTCTTAGTGTCGACTCGATCCTAACATATATTCAAATATATCTTACTTGCCAACAAGATAAGGATAAGCAGCGATAGCCGATGAAACTTCTGGAGCCGTTGCCCATACTAGAAAGGTCTTGGGAGAGTATTTCCTTGGACTTCACATCAAGCTTATCGGTAGTATGGGGACTCAAATCACTACTCGTTGTGGTCGATCGATTTTCAAAATATATAACATTCATTGCTACACCTATACACTGCTCAATGGAGGAGGTGATCAAGTTGATGATAAAGAATGTGGTGAAGTATTGAGAAGTCTCGCATAATATCATCAACGATTGACACGTGTGGTTCTTGGGGCGATTTTGGATCGAGCTATTCAAATTACTATGGTCTAAGTTATACTTCTACATAAACCTCCACCCCTATAGTCAAACTAAAAGAATAAATTTGCTCCTTAAGTAATATCTTCGATACTACATGAGTGTCAACCAACATGATTGAATGAAGCTATTGGACATAGCTCAATTATCCTACAATTTGTTATGGAGCTTTGCATCCAATAAGAGAACCTTTAAGAATATTACAAGACAGTAGTCATAGACTCTTTACACCTTGACGATCGTTTATACTAGGAGTAGCCCCTTAGTATATTACTTTAAAAAGGAATGATATTGAAATACAAATATTGTCCGGGCTTACTTGGAGAAGGCAATAAAAAAGATGATGAAGTAGACGGATCTGGGAAGGCGACCATCGGAGTTTAAGTCGATGACTTGGTGTCAATGAATCTCTAACCAGCATCATTCCAATTTTTTAGGTATAAAGTACACAAGGGACCAGTACACAAGTACAAAGAACCCTTTAATTTTTTGATCAATAACAAGTTTTGTCTTTTCTCCCACCTTCATAAGCATGGATTGCCCACCCAATTATAGTAGGGTAGGCAATGTCTCCTATAAGTTGTAGCTGCCTACGTGGCTCAAAATTTACAATATCTTCCATGTGAGCAACCTGAAAGCCTACCACTCAGATTCGTAAGATACTTTTCGAAGTGTTCCAACTCATTAACTCTCCCATTAGAGCCTCCTACGAAAAGTGAGCTAAAGCCATTTTAGTTGATTGTAAGACGAAGCTGCCCAATGGAGTAGAGAAGATCAAGTACATGGTAAAATGCAAAAACTTCCTTGAACAGAAGCTAGTTGGGAGCCTAAAGACACCTTGTAACATGAAGAAGCAATGATCAAAGCCTATCAGCAAGCGTCGATAAGAGTGTAAACAGTTTAAGTGGGGGAGAATGTCATGGATGATTGTCGCACACCCGCAACACCCTTATCAACAAACTGTTCGTCGCATTTTTTTGCTTGTACATATGCTTGACAACATGTTTTGCTTTGTTTTGTATGTTTTTGCTTGAAAATTGTGAATATGAATAGTTTGCAAGGTTATAAAGCGATCGCTCACCAGAATATGTAAAACTGTCCAAAAATGGTCTAGTTTTCATGTGTCATGACCTGTTTACTATAGGCTTTAATGCGAAGAAAAACGTCAGGCACCTCAGCACCCAAAACCCCTTAGGTGGCACCTTGCTAGATGGGGATCTGGAATAGTGTTGAACATTGATTAGATTCACAAGTTCGTAAGTTAAACTTATGGAAACTTGCCAACGCCTGACACCCAATGAGCAATCATTTGTAAACTTGTGATTGTTTGTTTGCCTTCTAAAGTCCTTGTTTTCTTCTTTCTCTCTTGCACACCAAGTGTTTACTAAATTACTTGTAAACTGTTCTCTTCACGAGATGTTGAGATTTGTTTACTGTTTGTTTTTAAACTAATCAATTTGCTCTCTTACAAGTCAGCAAAGCGAGGTTACAACTAAGCTAACCCTTTCTAAATGAATAATACAAAAGTATCTCATAACTTAAGAAATTCTAGCTAGGCACGTGATAATATAGCCATGACATTGTTCATAAATGTTACGCTGACTTACTTCGTACATCATGATGATTACAATTCATATTTAGAAATAAAAATTAGGAAAACTAGCACATGCTAGTATATTCATAGAGTCCTTGAAGAGATCCAATTACGAAAACTAGCACATGCTAGTATATTCATATAGAGTCCTTGAAGAGATCCATTTAGTCAATCAAAGTAATTAGGCATTGTGGCATTGACACCCGAGCCTAGCATATGTCAATTATAAAAATATCAAAAAAATTATAATTTTAAATTTTGATACAATAATAATAATAATAAAATTATAAATCTTAACTATTTAAGATTAACTGCATGAATCTTTTATTGTTATTATGTAAAAAACTATATACTTAATTAAATTTAAAATACTTAAATTTTTATTTATAATTTTTATTAAATTATTTTTAGATTTTCCTTTACCTTTTATCATACCATTAACATTAATCATTTTATATCATTTTAAATATTTTTTTATCTTATTCTATATTAAAACGATACCTAATTATTCATGAATAAAAATATTTATTTTTTTATTTTTTCTATTAACTTCACACATCCTTCTCAACATTCTTATCTCATAACATACACTTTTTTTATATATTAATTTTTAACTACCCAATACTTAGATCATAGTTTTAAATTCTGATGCATCCTATAAATGAAAGATATACATGAGAACTTAGTGGTGAATGGTGATAAAAAGGAATCAATGCCACAACTATAAAATACACCCAGCAGGATATTCAAAATTAAACCAAAGTTCTATGCATGAACTATGTTGAAGAAAATTATGTGTACATTGTGATATCATCTAATCATTGGATGGACCAAGGACAAGAAAAGAGTTATATCTGTTGTTAAACATGAAATAGAATTGAACTTTAAACTAAAGAGTAAAGACGCTAATTCAAAATTTGTTGAATGCAAATGCAAGATCACCTGTAATTGATACAATTGAAGCAGACTTATGTACATGTAGGATCACAAAAAGTACACCAGCCGTTTCAAAAATATGCAACTAGCCTTCTATTTGGCACTCGGCATATCAGTATGTAATGGTTGAGGTGGCAGAGGCTTGAGCAGAGATTTTAAGGACTCCATGATACTAGAAAAAGCCGGTCTTTTCCATGGCTCACTGCAGTTCAACAGATCATTTAAGAACAGAAGCAGAATGAAGTATAAGAAGATTAATTGCCAAGGAATTGCACTGTCCACATACTTGGCCCAACAGGACTCAATTATAGCAGCCACCTGTGGATTTACATCACTTGGAATCTCAAGCCTTCTTCCTTTAAAACCAACCGCAGCAACCACCTGTCACATGACAATTTATTTCATATATTGGTAATTTTAATGATGGCACATCTATGTGTCTCAGCACATGTAGAAAAACAGACTTGTATTAAATAAATGCATTTGCTAATCGGCAAGACATTGACAAAGTTCAAATGATTCCAAATTCATCAAACTAAAGCCCTCTAATCGTCAATACCAATGGAATAAAAACAGCTAACCTGAGCAGGATTTAAATTACTCCATGGTTGTTGCAATGTCATAAACTCCCACAAAATCACGCCAAAGCTGTAAACATCAGACTTCTCATTTGATGGTTCATCTCGAAGTACTTCCGGTGCCATCCACTCAGGCTAATGTGAACAAAGACAATCAAAGTTGAAAACCAAAACAACTCAATTAACCTATTGTAAATCAGCCAAATGGATTCAGTTGAAAGCATGTACAACACGAGCAACTTACGGTTCCTGCAAGAGACTTAGATGAGAGAAATGTGTTTGCCTTCAGTCTTGAAAGACCAAAATCACAGACCTGCAGTTCAACAGAAAGCTATCACTGCAGTAGTGGTATACAGAAAAACTAGGTATATACAGTCAATTACAGTAGGATAAACCAAAAAGGAATCCGAGTTTGACAAATTGCATCTGCTTGACATGGCTGTAAAACAAAGAATATGAGATACTGACAGAGACAACCTGATAGATGACATGGCACG